AAAGTGCAAATACATCCAGACTTCTCTAAATCACTGGAAAAAAATGGAAGCCATTTTTCACTGAGAATGAGAAGCTGCCAACTCACCAGCAACACAATATGTCACGCTTTCTGTTTGTTAAAGGTAATGCATGATATATAATAGATGTATGGTTTATAATGTGATCTATTGATTTGTATTACACTAACTGCACTATGCCTGTTTGATTGTGTAATAGTACTGTTACAGTAAGTGCTCCTGAGGAATGTAGTTTTTTTTTTATAGTCTTCCTGAAACAGGAGTTATCTTCTCTATACAGGCTGTCATTTTACAAAGGAACTGGACAAGACATGGTAAGCCACTGTCCAGAGAATAATTGCTTTCTGCAACATCTAAAACTTAAAATTGACTCACTATTCCTCAATCTTCTGTGTTTTACATATTTCACCTTCATTCTTGTGGGTAATGTTTTTTTTTTTCTTTTCCTAAAAATCCTGAACATGTGGCTTCAGAGCCAACCTAACAGGTTTGGCAAAATTCATGGAGTCATAGCCTGCTCTCTTTTGGACTGAAATAAGTGACAATATATGATGTTATTCTTCAAAGAATTATGAAAAACAGGACCTTTCATACGGAGCTGCTGCACACAGTATGTTTGATCCCACTATGTTTGAAGCTATTATTAGTTGTTTTGATTAAGTAGTTGTCCTTTTTGGCGTTGCGAGTTAATAGAAAACGTTGGTGTACAACATGCATTGTCACCATTTATGCTTCTTTTGACCATTATTTTTTGTCACTGAATTAAATTGCAGCATTTGCCGGAGAATGAAACGTTATAATTTTGAGGCTTGTTAACGAACAAATCGTTTTCATATTTTGTGCCATTTTATGATGTTTTGCGGTGCTGACAAGACAACAGCCTTTTCTAGACTGTATGAGCAAGGCACAGTGGTTAATCACACAAGACAGTAGTGTATGTGCAGAAGTGGACATAATGGCCATCAACAGACTGAAGGAAGTGTAACATGGTGATAATAAACCTCCTCTCTCCAATTCTTCTGAAATAATCCCTCCATTCAGTCAGTACCAAGCAGCAGCCTCCTCCTGCCGTCCCATGGAAGGGAAGGAGGACCAGTGCCAGTCTTGTACCTAGTTTGCAATTCTTCAATGGGCCTTTGTGGATGCTGCCATCCTTCCCTCCCGGCAGCCCATTCAGGAGTGTCACATGGCGCTCGGACTCTGCGCCCATCTCACAATGCACCCCTGTCATTTGCACCTCATTGACATTCGCTCATAGTGATGTGCATTGGGGAATGGTCGTGTTCTTCCACTAGTTTCAAAGGAAATGAAGTGCCGGGCTGGGTGGCCAAAGTGTGGCTTCCTGGAGACGGTATTCATATTTCTTAGGAGGAAGTGCTGAAATGTGTGTGTGTGTGTGTGTGTGTGTGTGTGTGTGTGTGTGTGTGTGTGTGTGTGTGTGTGTGTTGGGAGTTGGCAGTTGGCAGTGAGTTTTAGCAAATGTGTCACACCAACCTCCCACACCTTTAAACTGTCAGGTACTGTGAGAAAATGTTTGTTTGATATTAGAAATGTTGAACGCCAATAGTCTTGTGAACACCATATATTGAGGCTGAGACTGACTGAATAAATTTTACCATGGAAAAAGTTATATTTAAATGTTCCTGCTACACTTCTAGCAATGAGTGGAAACGGTTGCCTTTCATGTGAGCAATACAAGGTTGTAAAATCAAGTGGATGAAGTATAGAAGTTCTAGCCTGTCTAGACTTCCGTATGACCACCCACATCTAATTCAGTCTGATTAACTGACAAGAAGACTCCTGATCCACAACAGGAGTTCACAAGTAAGAATTGTTGATAACATGTCTGGATTTCTCTTTAACCTACCAGAGCATAATTGCACTGGAATGATATCTAGAGATCTGTGTGTGAATTAAGCTAACTGCTGTTCTCTGTTGAAAAAATCTGAGGTTAGCTTGCAGCTCTCAGCTTCTTGCCTGTTAGTGCTAATCTTGTTAAATGTGAGCTGATAAGTGATACTCAGTTTGCACGTGTATGAGTCTACATGGTTAGTCTTCCAAAGTTGACAGAATTTTTTTGATGTCAATCTAATTTAGACTCAGTAATTGAGTATAATCTAGTAGTATGGTTGAGGTAAATGTTGCCTGATAGGCCTCTTTGCACTGCAGTACACCTCAGAGATGGGAGTACCTAGAGTTGATTGTGGTTTCATAGCTTAGCTTAAACATATTATGAAAATTATTTGAAAATGAGCTGGTTGTGAAATACACTGAAAACCTTTTCTCATTATTCAAATGGGCTGCATGACACTATCACCTACAAGAGAGAATAAATGTAATGAGATGTAATACTCTAATACTGATATACTGTTTCAGATACACTGGTAAAATATTACCTGACACCTGACCTGACAGTTGAGACGAGCTGGAGTCTGAATTGCCTCTGAAACTCCATTTAGATTATTCTATATATATTGTTTATATATATATTTTGGAGTACAGGCTTATTTTGTTCAATTCCCAGAAATACATGTTTCAGAATGATGGCATTGTCTTTATTGTACAGTAATTAAGAAAATAGCTTGGGAAAAATCCGTAAAACTAACTGTGATGTCTCTCTCTCAAATTAAATCGAAGGCAACTGGATTTGTATTTGTCTGTGGAAGACGTTTCGCCTCTTATCCAAGCGGCTTCATCAGTTCTTATGTATTGGTCTCTCTAGTACATGTCCAAACATATTTAATGAGGCAGTTGGGAGATGTTGCTGCCATCCATGACTCTCTTTCCCAGCACTTATTGACCTTATTATATCACATCATCACCACATCATCATCGTCATTGAGAAAGACCAACAGCATTCAGTTCACTACAGCAGGCAGACATGAATAAACACAGCTTGCTGCTATTTCAACCATTACCCTAAAAAAATAAAGGTTTAATTTAGAACCAATTGTGGTTCCTTATGGTAAATAATTTACCTTTATCCTTTCTGTGTTTGGTGCTTGAAGTAACACATACTATTAAGCGCTTTGAACTCACATGGTTTTTAACAGTGATGTTTGATATTTAAGCCATTTTCTTTATCCTCACAACTCTCTTTAGTATCTCTTTCATTGTCGAATAAAGCAACATTTACATATTGTAACATATGGATTAATTTATGATTAATTATCATTTACTTTCAGATGCTTTATGGATCAGTTGTCAACCATTAATTAGAACTACTTTGGATTGTTAGGTTGTGAAAAACTCGTTTGGCTGGTATTTATCATTTAAATTTGAAAATAGTAGTTGTAAATATTGGTGTACCATTATTCATACTGATCAATTTCTCAATACTAAAACATTAAGTCTGCCGTTAAGTAATTACATAAGGTCACTGGTTTCTTGCTTTCTAAGAAGCTGGCATCCATTTAAGGTAAATTATCAAACTGTATTTTGTCCACTAATGAATGAAAGTGGTAGTTAAAAAGATAAAACGTCACCTTGGAGAAGGATACACACCAACCTCAATGGGTTTTTACAACCTGGCAATCCAAAATTTGTAATGATCTATAAAGCATTAGTTAAGGCCTTGTTAACCATTTCTAAAGTAGTTAGTCAGAACAACTATAACCTTAAAGGGTGTCATATAAGTGCTAACCCTTCTTTTTTCAGTAATTTCAATTAAGTGCATTTACTAAAGTGCTGTACTAAAGTACAGTTTTGAGGTACTTGTAGCCTACTTTATTTGAGTATATCAATTTTATTCTACTTTATACTTCTGCCCCACTAGATTTCAGGGAAAAATATTGTACTTTTTATTCTATTAGTATATTTTATACACAAAACATATAATCAGCAAAAAAAACATGTCTGTCATTTTCTATACCAATGTATAAACCTCAACCAGCTCGGTAAAATGCTACTGACACATTAATGCATATTAATGATATTTCAATAAGAATACAAAATATAATTCGCTGATAATACTTGCTTGATAATACCATGCCTATTCAAAATGAAACAACAAACATATAGAGATTGTACTATTACACTTTTATCATTAAGTTTATATAATTACAGTAATTAATGTAGTTAAATAACTAAAACATAGACTGTTTAAAGCACATAAATAATTTTACTAACTAACTTTGATTTTGCCCAATCCTGAAGAAATTGTGGGAGAACATAATTAGAGAAAGCAAAGATAGTAAAGAGCCTTTTGTTTTGATGTAGAATTTGTATTACTTGGCATAATACCAACAGAAACCATGTCTTAGAATATGCATTTACACTACTTGAAAATTAGACCTAAATTATGGTTGAATCTTGTCCATTCATTCAAGCATGTTAAATGTAAAATGTTTATTTTCTGTAGAAAATGTCATATATGAATCTGTTTTCTTACACAATCACAATTATATATATAATGTTAATTGTATTGAGATGGCAATGAAAATATTTAGTGTTTAAGAAATCAAATGCAATAACTTTGAAATGTCTAACACATTTCCTCATATATTCTTATTACCATACTTTAACTATACAACTAACTACATAACCTACAACATTTGACAACTATATCTCGATATTTATACTTAGTTTTTTTTGTTTGTTTGTTTTTATTTATTCATTAAATTGCAGTGTCTCTTAAATTAGTTTTTGTAAATTGTACAAATTATACTTTTATTTTGTTATTTTTGGATAGATTTTTGTTATTGTTATTTCATATTGTGAACAATGTGTTGGTACTTTATTATGGTATTTTTTTTATTTTTTATAGTCTGTTTAGGGATTTTATTTGGTTTATCCCATGGCATCACAGTTAAAGAATCAGTATTGGTTCTGACTGGAACCATTATTTTGAAAGATCATTTGCTATCAGCTACGTGACCATGTGCAGCAGCAGCACCACCCTCCTCCCTTTCCCTCCCTCTCCCTCCCTTCCCTCTCTCTAGCATCACTCCCCTTGTACACGCTGTCCTCAAAACCTCCAGCGGCATTACCCGCCTCGGCCTGTGTACGCTGAGCTTGACTGGGAGGAGGTGGGATCTAGCTACTGGTGGTCGTGGGCTTGCGGGCGTTTACGTGCGAACCGTGTAGATTGCCAACGACTGGGCATTTTTCTGGGGGGGAGAGAAATAACGACAAGAAAGCCCCGCTTGGGATCCCCTGCCTCCCTGCCAACGACACACATTCATCCACCACTGTTATCTGCCTTCTTACTTTATCGTCGTTTTCTGCCAGTGTTTCCCACTCAAACCCAGCGAGATTCCTACTAACAACGACCGCCACCATCATCAACATTACAGGCTGGGGCTGTGTGATGAGGTCGCCCTGCCGCAGGGGTTTGGATATTACGTTAAGATAAGGCGGTTTTTGTTGTCAGGGTAGTCTTGCTTTCTCGATTACTCGCTTTCGAAAGCCTCCCAGCACCCCGAGTGTGTGAAGAAATACACCGCAGGAGAACGCAGCTACTACTGGGGCTGAGGGAATCGCTGGTGAGTGGATGGTCCTTCTCTGTCTTTTTTTTAACCGTTAGCCTCTAACTGTTAGCTGATATATTGAATGCTCCGATCTTGGCAACATAACATAGATGCTGTCAAGCCCGGGCAAACGTATGATTTATAAACTCCTTGAGCCTGTGAGTCATTATATATCGTCAAAGACTTTTCAGTGGAATGTGTGAATGTGTCTGTGTTTACTTCACGGTATTTAACATTACACTCTTTTGTTAATTTGGTCCTTCTCAGGGATATCGTTTAGTAACGCTATGTCATTCGTAGCTAAGGTTAGCCGTCAACGCTGCTAGCTACCGAGCCTACGCCCAATTGTCTCCCGTCCTGTAATGATCCACAATTACCACACCAGGAATTGTTCAGTCACCACATAAAGATGCCAGCTTGCCATTGTGTAGGTAGCACTGTGTGGAATTATTTAAATCAGCTCTCACAGCGCCCAATTAACTGGTCAAAAAACCAGCTGACTCAATGATGTGCTGTCACGGTAACAATCGCACCTTTTTCGCTCATTACAGTCCTATCAGTGATTTACATAGACATGCACAGAAAGTGCAACCACTGTAGTTTAAACCTCAGCTCGCCTCACAGAGAGGACCCTTGTGAAAACGCATGGTACGGAAACAGTAGGGCTTTCTCTGTGGTTCCGTCAACACTGACAGCATTGTGTGGGTTGTAACACGCCAGAGCTATAACACGCTAATCCTTAGTGGACATAGTTGGCAGCAGTGCAGGTATGAGACTGTTTAGGTTGACTGTGTGTGCGTCCATCCAATTTGTGACGAAAACAACTATATAAGATGAGCCCTGATCATGTTCATATTTTGTTGTACAGTTAGTGTAGAAGCAGCTGTCAAGTGGAGATGATGTACAGAGCCCCCCCCCCATCATAAATTTTAATAGCATCTGTGGATGGAATATATTAAATCACACTATTAAACTACATCTTTTTCAGCCTTCTTCTACCATTCATGTGTCTAATGGTATGTTAAACAGACTGTAAAGCTGTCTTTGGCAAATTTATGCTTTCTAGTTTTTTATTGTGTTGAAAGGAGCTTGTTGACTGGTTGGAGTCATGCACTGAATAATATGGTGGACAATGGACCACACCAAAAGTTCAAATTTGATGAACTGTCTGTGCTCAGACCTCTGAGAGCAATACCATTCATGGCCCTGTACACTTGACTAGATGTCCAGAATGGGGTGTTGAATTGATTAGTGGTGTTACTGACCTTAGTGAGCTATGTAATAAAACCCACCTTAAGATGCAAGTAGTACTGCTTATGAATCATGTAATCCTGAAGCTGCCAGAGTGACTTCTTACTGTGGAAGTAGCTGTCAAGTAGTCTGTGACCCCAAATGTCCCCAAATCACTGTAATCCTTTGTAAGTATCCATAAAATTAATATGTTAAAGTTTTGAACAATTTATATTTGAACTTTTTGTATTTCCCCAAAAACATGAATAACTAATAAATACTTTAAAATGATGCATTGTATTTGATGGAACAGTAAAACAACAGTCTCAGAATTTTGTCTATAATTTTCCCTGAAAAGTTCCAACCCAGCATATATTCTGACCTGTGCACAGCTGGCCAACCACAGCGTGAAGTGGGTATCAATGTTGGGAATCGTCGCTTTTGTAGAATTACAGAAATGGTTGGACACAGCCCCCTCAGTATGACGCTGGAAAGGTGTAGATGGAGTATACTGGCCCCTGCCTTCAGTCATTCAAAACCTGTCAGTGTAGGCAGCAAACAGTCCAGGGTGTTTCTGTAACAGTAAGATGCTGGTCTTCCTCTGAATTCACTGTTCTTCTGCATTGTAAGCATTGTAAATGCTTGTTCTGATGTTTACAAGGCTTCTGGAAAGGGTCTTTAGATACTCTGAGTGTCTGCTGTGTTTCTTGACACCCAGTATTACCTAATATAAAAACACAATCCTGTGAGAGAGTGGATCATTTATACTAAGATAATCTTGCTGGTGAACTGCTTGTGAACACCCACTTATAAAACCCTCTCGTCGATGACAGTTTAGAGAATGTAATTTCATTCTGCCTGTGTGTTAATTCCAGTTGTGTAATTTTCCACGGAACAGGAAATGTGCATTACTGAACACTCATGAGGTATAGGGAGCTTACTTGGGGGCACCTGTCTTTCACATTGAGGGAAAAGGTTAGTCAAATACCACATTACATAACAGATTTTAGTGTCCTCTTAAACATGAAGAGCCTGTATAACGTTTTTCCAAATACATGTTTCACATCCTGGAAAATGCAAGCTTGATTCTTGCAGCACTTGAGAAGTGGGTGATCCAAGAGTGCTCCTTATGACTCCCTCAGACTCCTTCAGTACCTGCAGTGATCACATATATAATCAAAGTACATTATGCAGAATTAGTAAGAGTGGGAAGTTTGGGTTTTGTTATATTAAACACAATGTTGCGACGGCACCTTTCATTTTGTTACTTAAACTGTAAGATGGTTTTACATTGCGTGGCATTCTTCATGCAGCTAGAATGTGAATATAAAGGTGGTTCTAATAGGTTAATGAATCTTCGCAAACAAAATATAGATAACAGCGGATTTTCATTTTGGTGAAATTCTGCTTTCTGATTGTTAAACAAATGTTTGGATTTAGTTGGCATGCAATGTAAACATAATGAATGTAATAACATCAAGCCCATAACAAAAGTAAAGTAATTTGTGTGTTTTTGGGATGAAGATGCACATGATTTGGTTCTTTTGAAGACCCTTATTATGCAAATCAAAGAGGAAATAAGTTGCTACTTCATACATCCCATAGAATGTGTCTTGTTACTGTTACTTAAAATTTGACCTCAAATCCGGCTTCTTGATTTTACAGTAGATTGTCCAGGAAAAAGGCTGAATGTTCTGGTATATTAGATTTGTATTGAGACTCAGCACGTCCATTGCAAAGGCTTGCAATGTCTGTTTTGTCAGGATTTAGAGAACAGTTTCACTTGTGTTAAATGCAAGCATGTACATGTGCAAGGATCATTTACATGTGCAGTAAATGTTGATCAAAAAGTGGTCCCCTTCATGTTATGTTGCTTGTGGTGCAGTGAGTGTGTGAACTTTTGACATTGTGTACTTATGTTACTCTTAAGTTTCATCCACTTATCATTAGGCTGTTGCTCTTGGCCTTAAGCACAAGGCACTTGGCCATTTCAAACACTCATTTCTCAAATGGAGTCATTAAAGTATTGCATCAGTGAAGTTGAAAATATGTTCACTGTGTTTGTGTACAGTGCGCTACAAAATAGACAATATAATATTTTAGATTTTGTCCAAGTGTGTGAACTTGACACTTTGGTATGTTTTGTTTTGTTTGGGTTAGACTATTTGTTTATTTCCTACAGGTCAACAGCAGATAACCCCAAGAACTGATATGACTTGAATTAGGTTCAGGTTGTTTTCATGTTTCAGCTTGACTTACTCACCCTCACATGACTACAGGTTTTATTTTTAGTGACTGTGACCCTGTACTTTGTAGACCAAGGGTCCAGTTTTATCTTTGGTACGTAGCACTGAAAAGACATTGCATAGGATTGGGCTTGTTACAATTTTTGAGTATCATCTTGTTCAGCAATACTGTTGGGATTTTTTTCGTCATTTTCAAATGAAATAACTCCCCACTCTTGATTTAAATGGGTGTGTGTGTGTGCCAAATAGGCAGACTTGGACAAAAATCAACATAAAAAATAGACAGAATAGAAATTGGGTTGAAAAGTCTTGTCAGTCAGATGGGGACAGTTAATGAGGTGACGTGGAGCATTGAAGGAAGAAGAAAAAAAAACCTCCACTAAAATGTGGCATTGGATACAGGAGACAAGAGTGCTATGAGACAGCTGTGTGTGTCAGTTCCTCTTGTTTGTGTCAGCTTGTGTTTCTGTCAGAGTCCGCTGAGGGAAGATGGGCTTCAAGGGGAGGGAGAGAGACCAAATACAGAAAAGGTCACAACAGACTTTTTCATTTTGGTTCCATTTAGATGAGTTTAGCTGATGATTGAACCTCTCTTCCTTTGCAGTCAAACCATAAGATTTTAAGAGGATAATTACTTTTCTGTTTGCTTTATTTACAGTTAATTACTTTCTTTTCTTAATTTGATGCTAGCCTATTTGTAATTTTTGTATCTTTTAGTGAGCTGTTGGCTTCTTCTTTATTGATGTTAACATCTCCAGGTCAGACATCATTCTGTAGGGGATTAATTACTTGCCACAAAAACACAGATGGTTGTTGTTAATGAATCACATCAGCAATATAAGTTGTTTAGTTAATTTTATTTCATTACACAAATCTATGTCTTGCAACAGCCTTGCAAGTGAAGAGTAGCTTTGTTTTCAAAGTTTTACATAATTATAAATTGAATATGTTTTTTGATATATTATTAATGAATTATTGATTCTTCAAGATAATATTCACTTCTTTTATTTCATTTTATTCATGAATATAAACCCTTTTATGGAGTACCTACAAACTGTCTTCAGTGTTAGTTTCTAGTCAGTTAGCTTAGCATAGATAGCTAGAAGTTGGTCTAAAACTAATTTGCTTTGCTTTTGACTATACAGTGTTTACAGTTCAGAGTTAGGTCAGTTTTAGTCAGAGCCTATGACACACTTCCATGACAGTGTGACTCTTTGTGAATCTCAGCAGTCAGATTGCATGTATGGAATGACCAGTCAGTGATGGTGTTGGCAAACAAACAGTACAACATTGAGCATGTGTTGATTTGTAGCACTGGTAAAGAAGCTTTTAAATGAATTTCGTTTCACCGTGAAATCATGATGAATAACATGCATCATTTATCATATGCCAAGGTTTGATGCATGCTTTGGACAGCACATTGAGTCAGATGTAAATCCGGTAATTGGAATTCAATCAGCAGCCGACATTAGGTTGACCTTGTCAGCTCTACTCAAGTCCAGTGCCTCCCACATCTCCATAACTGGAGTTATAGTTACA